GGGACACGAACCGCGGTCGACTACGTGGGAGTCCAGCGACATAGCCATTACGCTAACTGCTGGTTCCCAATAAAATAATTCTTTAGAAAAAAATAACTATTTATTTGAGGGGCTAGGAGGTGGCGGGGTGGTTAAGAGGCTGGACTTCCACATGCCCGATCACATGGCTCGTGTCCCAGGCCTAGTGGCTTGCTTTCTCACTTTCCTTTTTTCTCACTCTGTCTCTCTCTGGTCCAATTAAAAACTAATAATAAATATAAATAAAATAATTTTTTAAAAAGAATTATTTATTTGAAACCAGCATATGGTATAATGGTTACGTCACTGGACTCCCACATGGTTAATCATGGTTCAAGTTCTGGACCTGGTGGCTTGAAAGTCATGCAAGGCGCGTGTGCATGTGTGCCCAAAATTGCAAGAAGAGAATGGAAGAGAAGGGATTGAAGAGTGGCCATCGCCCCTGGGGAGCGATTTTTTATTTTCTGTCTCTGTCTTTGGCTAGTGCACGTGCCCTGTACCAAAAATCCTTCTTGCAAGCCACCAGTCTACAAAATACAGGAACTGGGATGAATAGATGGCATAATGGTCACATCACTGGACTCCCACATGGTCAAACGCAGTTTGAGTCCCAGACCTGGTGGTTTAAAACTCACACAAGGCATGCATGCATGCGTGATGAAGATCCCAAGAGAATGGAGGAGAAGAGATTGTGGTGTTGCTGTCCCCCCAGGGGGTGATTTCTCACATTCTGTCTCTCTCTGTCTTTCTGGCTAGTGCATGCGCCCTATAGCAAAAACCTCTCTAAAAAAATAAATAAGAAAAAAGAAAGAAAAGAATATTTATTTAATTTTATTTATTATTATTAATTTTACATTTCATCAGAGAAAAACAAGAAAGCAAGATGCCAGGACTGAGACTCTAACCGCAGTCAGCACATTTGGGAGTCCAGCGCCTTAACTACCACGCCACCTGTCAGCCCCAGCAAAAGAATCTTTTTTTAAAAAAAATGTACAGGGACCAGCAGTTAGTGTAATGGCTATGTCACTGGACTCCCATGTAGTCGACCAGGG